GTCCAATTCATAACTACCGCAGTGTGAATCCCAGTGTTACTGAGCAATCTGCACTGTGACACGCCTGCTGGTGTCACAGAGTCCAAAGGGTCTCAGTGTGGCACCATTTAAACTTTGTCATGTTGGCTACAATATTCTGAAATCTAAGGCAAGTTTATTTATACAGAACCTTTCAACACAAGGCAATTCAAAGTGCTTTACAAAAATGAAAGACATTAAGTTAAGAGCTAACATTTTGTATTTAGTTCTTTTAAATACTTACAATTATCAAACAAGTACTTGTATTCTTAAACTGATTTGAATGCCTTAATCTTCACCTGATGAATAATTCTGATATAGCCTATTTTTGATTGTGCTAATAACTGGTGCACGTGGCTCCAAGGTAACATGAAGTCAAAGGGTCACCAGGAATTCAGAAAGAGACTCAATTATCAACCAAAAAGGGTTGTATGAAAAATGTACAAAGCTTTATTCATAACCTTGAGATTCAAATCCAAAAGGAACATTTATTTGAACACTGCCCAGCTTTTCAACTGTTACTTTGAATCTCTATTCACTTTGTTTGAACCTGGTATTTCTGCAGATTTGCAGATAAAGACTAGGGTCCGCTTTAGGGTCATTCACTTTAGATTCCAGACATGACTGCGTAGGAGATGCAACCATGAACAATAACTCAAAAGCATTTTAAAGTCCAAAATCAACATTCACCTAACAAAGATTCACAAACTGTATTTTTCTAAAACTATATTTTATTTTTATCCTTATTTGTTGTCTTTTAGCATTATAGAAATCAAACATTTTAATTCTGTTTAAAAACCTGTGATCCATATGAGGCCACAATTAAAATGAAATCTAGTTCCTTTTTTTCTTGGCTTTTCAGGACATAAAATATAACATAGCTTCATTTGAAACCTGAATAGAAGCTTTGAATAACAAATGACATTCATACAGCAAGTTAAGTATTTTGGCAAATAGATGGGTCCCAAAGCATACGTGCAGCTTCAATAAAGAGCACTACTTTAATGTACCCTAATTTCTCTTGACTTTGCCAAATGCATTGATGCACACTCAGTATACTGTGTGCCTCTGTGATTATTTCCCATTGGTCAGTTATTCCAAAGTCAGTCCCAGAGGCTCATCGTAGATCAGGGGTGTCAAACTCAAGGCCTGTGAGCCAAATCCGGCCCGCAACCTCATTTTATGTGGCCCGCAAGAGCTTGCAAAGAATATAATACGTTTATTATACATTTACATGCAGCTTTACAGAAGCACGTTGTCCATAAACTACATGTCCCACAATGCATCTCGTTTTGTGACACTGAAGAGACTTGTAATTATTTGCCCTAGACTTCTGCTTTCAGACGTAGTTAATTATGAAGTTATTACCCTATCCGATAATAATCCAATGCAGAGTCAATAATGTTATATAATACATTATTTTATATATGTATATTTATATAGTCTTAAAGTTACAACCGGCCCTTTGAGTGCAACGATAATGCTCATAATGCTCAAAAGGTTACAATATTACAATTTATTGGAACTAAATCAAATCAGAGACCCGGATGTGGAGATTAAACTGTTCATTACCTTATAAAAGCAAATACTGTTTATGTTTTTTAATTAAATTGTCACTTAAAGTTACTAAAACAAATACCTTTACAAAAACAAATACCAATTACTGTATTTTTTGTTTATTTTACTCAATTACTTTATATACTGTTTTTGTCTTTTTAACCCGCTTTTATTGTGCCCCTCTCATGAAATAACTGGACCTAGCCTGGCCCCCCCGGTAAAATTGGTCTAGATCTGCCACTGATAATGCTGATGTGGCCCGTGCTGAAATTGAGTTTGACATCCCTGTTGTAGAGACAGCACCCCCGTCCTCTCCTATAAGCCCCAGAGTGAAGCCATGGGTGAAATAAGGTGATTCTAAATCCCCCCCCCCACGTTCCCCTCTCCTCTCACAGTGACAACGACGAGAAGCCACTGAAGGGCAGCCAGCACTCGCTGAGCAGAGAGATCAAAGCGGGGGACAGCGGGGACAGCCTGGTGGACTACGGAGACGAGGACGTCCAGTTCAACGAGGACGGGTCCTTCATCGGAGAGTACGCCGGGCGAAAGGAGAAGAGGGTGTCCGCCGAGATCAAAGCCCCCGCTCAGACCCCGGCGTGAGGAGCGGTACTTCCATATCCCCCCCGTGCGGACATTGAAACCTGCAGGGAGGACCCAGAGCAGACAGACATTATCCACAGAGCACAGTGTTGTGTCAATCGTAATGCGTCATTACTGCCACCCTCATTTTATACAGCTCCGTTTTGTCAAGTTGCAACAGTGACCATTACTAAATGCTGTGTATATAGAGTGTATATTGTACGTCCTTTTTTTACAATTATTATTTCACACAAAAAGTTTAGAGGGCTTGGATTTTGTTTTCTTTTTTATCTGCATTACGCACTGTTTGTACAAATGTTAGGAAACTCTGTGACATGTTATGGAGATGGTATATTGTCTTGTAGCAGCCCACAGACACGTGGGAATATCAAGTTGATATTTGTTTTTCAATTGGAGCATAATACTGACATTTTATATTTGAAATTGAATCATTAAATATGATGTAAGATGTGTATAAAGGTTGCTTATTAACTTATTCTATCTCCGGTGGTTTTGTACCTGAGGAAATAACAAGGAACGTTGCATATCATAAACAGTGAGTCATGCTCCCTGTGATGTTAAAATAAAATGTAGCTATTATTTCTTTAGCATTTAAATGGACCGATCAGTCTGTTCTTACCATAACAGCCCCGTACACTGCTATTACAGATATGAAAGAGATATACAAATATTCTAAACAAGTATACATTTGCATTCATCAGATTATAAAAAATTGATGTGTAAGCCAGTCACTTTTTTACCAGAATTTGTATTAAAAGTACAACTGTAGTTGAATCCAGTTTGTAGAAAAACAATTTTACAATGGTACTTTAGCCAATTGCGAATATTTTAAATAAAATTGCTCTTAAAACATGATTTAGGTATACTATAAAGATATAGTCTTTAGAGGAAATGTTTGACATTTTGGGATATAGGCTTTTTAATCTTTGAGAATGTTTTTACGGTAAATTTGAAGCTACAGCTAGCAGCCTGTTAGCTTGAAGCTACAGCTAGCAGCCTGTTAGCTTGAAGCTACAGCTAGCAGCCTGTATGTTGAAGCTACAGCTAGCAGCCAGTTAGCTTAGCAAACGGTTTTGGTCCCAAAGGTAACAAAGCCAGTCTACGAATGATCTAAAACATTATTAAACTTGCCCAACAACATCAAACTAATCCTTTTAAAGAAGTTATCATGTGATTTGTAATTGTACTTTCATAGTGTTTCATAATGTTTGAGGACTTGAGAACGGAAACAGTCCATAGTTTGGGTCGAGCTTCAAAAGATTTGTCAATACATTTGAGACTGCAGCTAGCAGACGGTTAGCTTAGCTTAACATAAAGTTATTGATCCAAATTATGAATTATACATTTTCAAAAACATCAAACTTTTACTTTAAAGTAGTAGTCATGTGATTCATAATTGTAATTCCATAGTGTTTCATAACCATTTGGGAACTTGTGCTTTTAAAAATATAGTGGATAACATGGAAACACCCCCTTGTTTGGGTTAAACGTCAACAATGCCATATCCTACACGTCCCACAATCCCTCTTTCTTCCATTAGAAATATGCTCTGACAAATAAGTGCCCATATAAGAAGAAAATGCACAATACCTGTAATGCATTTGAGACTTCTTTTGTAATCTGGTTATATGGTATTATATATACCCTGTGGAGATAGTGTTAGTTCCTAACACGCCTTACTCTGTTACTTTCAATATAGCCTACTGCCATTCAAAACCCAAGCTTCATGTGGTTCAGCATTAACATTAGCACCATGATCTGAAAATTGCAATGTTTTGTAAAAAAAAATTCAGCCATTGCATGTTAAAAATGTTAATTGGTGTTTTCGATGTCATTAAATTGCTTTACTTTCTTACACCGTGGTAATGGACTGTTTGGTCACAACATTGGTCTAGAATGTCCTGTTTGTATGCCTGCCTGAATGAATACACACATCTCTGCCTTTCCCTCCACTCAGCAGTAAAACACGACTCCAGGGAAAACTGCTCAGAATAACACACAAGATGTTTGACAAATTGTTCTTATTTGAAGTACGACTTTAACAAATGTCACAGCGGGGTCAAGTCTCTGTCTGAGCTCCTTGTTTGATGACTTTAGCTGCGCGAGAGATTCATGAGGAGTGAGAGGAGTGGGCTGAGACAGGCACTGGATCAGGGAGCAGAGCTGTAATCATGTCTGATGCTTGATAGCAGGGAGTGGAGAGTTTCTCTCTGAGGGTTCTCTCCTCAGGTACTCTGCCATCACTCAGACAGGTTGGCCTTATCTGCAGAGGTAAGATGCTCCGTGCATTCACGTGTACGACCTTGAGGTGTTTGATAATGCACCCTTTTGAAGGTCCTTTGGTCTTTGGCAGCACTGAACAGCTGGACGTGTCCCTGCTCATGCCATCAGCGTTGGGGGAAGCTACTTACAGGGCTTAATTCTGTAACATAACAATCACTGCCCTCCGGAGAGACACTGCATTACATCACAGCTAGAGGAGCGCAGTCTGGACAAAGCCTCTTAGAGGAAATAATAAAGAGAAAATATGGTACTAGAAGGGCATGAAGAGAGGGCAAATCTGCCAAGGCTGTTTCCACAAGTGATAAACAACACAGGTACTCGCACAGTGATGCAGATCATGAGGATTTTGCAGGTCATTTTTTGTAATTTAGCTCACGATCAAACCAAAAATACAACCTAATTTTACACTCAAATGGTCATATGAGCATGGAAACAGTAACTGATAATTATTTCCGCCCTGAAGTGACACTTGAGGTGCGGGGAAAATCCATAATTCTCACTCTTTGTAGACATGTTTTCTAAAGTTCAACTAATTTCAAGCAGTTAGCAGTTAGTTTATCTAATCTCTGGAAAAGCAACCCAAAATCTGCTCAACGTTCAACGTATGTATGTTTTTATATCCAAAATCCAAACCTGTTCTACCGTGTTCTGGTCTTTTTTTGAAGGTTAAAAGGTTTCACTTTTACCTCATGTTCTGGGAGACAAAGTCAATATTAGAGGCTGTGTGATTGTCATGATTAGATTAGAATTGCTTGGGTGTACCGCTAAATTGAAATTGTTTCAATGTGAGCAAGAAATTAAAATCAATTCCTTTATGGATCTGCTTCAAAAACATTAAGCGTGAGGAGGAAAAGGGGGAGACACTGGAGAGAAACATGGGAGGAACCTGGGTTCCTCTTGAGCTCAATCACAGGCTGAGGTACAGAGTAACAATCCAAAGAACATGGTCAGTATATGTTGCCAGCTAGCTTAAAGCCATTGACTATATGAATACGTTGTAGTTGCAACCAATTAACCATTGGTCTGTGGACCACCATTTTGAAACCTTGAGTTTTCCATTTGATTAATTTGGAGGAGAATTGACACCACCAGAGAGTACATCCAAACATTTAGCAAAAGTTTTTTTAAGTTAACCAAAATATTACACTTTAAAATTCTTAAAGTTAATTGTAGGACCAAAACGTGCGCAACACCCAAACCGGACAAAACAGTTATTGCGACCTATCATTCGGTAGATGTCAAAGATATCCTGTAAAGTGGAACCCTTGAAAATGTAAAAATGTTTTCTCTGGTATTCTTCTTCAGGTGGTCGTGAGGTTCAGGCATCCTTCACACAGTACTTGTCCTTAATACCTTCAGATGCAAAATGAAATATAATTCAGTCTTTGGAAATGTTTTGAGGCCCCTGGGTTTAATATTGTGGATCTACACGTTTCCATGCTTTAAAATTGGAAGAATAAATGTTCACACTGCCTGGGCTGCAGCACCTATTTTCACCCTCTGTCTGAAACCAGAGCCCAGTCTGCTCTCATTGCTTAGCTAGCCGGCTCTGTTGTGATTGGTCATCCGCTTACAGATGTCCCACCTCTTAGCCTCATCACGTAAAATGTGTTTGAGCACTAGCCAATAGAAGTGCAAGTGCATAGTGATGTCATTTTGTTACGGATGCAATCAAAGCAGTCCAATGGAGACGTTTACATGCACAAAGATTTAACACAACTATCAAACACACTACAGGAAAGAGAAAAGCCCAATACGACCTTTTTCAGGTAGGAGACTTTCTTTAAACACTGCTCGCTGTGTTTGTATATACACGGCCGGTGGCACCAGGTGAACCTTGGGTTTAATGACCTATATGAATGCGACCCTCAGACACACAACCCCATTGTGTTCTGTGCATTGAGGTCATGGGGGGTCAATGATTCATTTGGGAAAGATGTATTCAGAAAAACTCCTATGCGACACCCCCGAGCAGCTCTTAGGATGGAGGTGAAAGGATCTGCCTTTAATGTGAAAGCCATAAAGTACAGTAACATATATTTAACCAGGCTTTTATGCACCCTACCCTACATATCATTCCATGACCTCAGTCCATTACATTGGCAATGTCAAAGGCTTAAAAAATGCTCCATTGTGTGTCCGTAGCTCTAATGGAATTCACAGCGGGTAATGGACACGAGCGTCTCTACGGGCAACGCCATTTGTTGAGTGATGAATAGAGGAGATGGGGGGGTCAATGACTTAAAGCACAAGGTGCACTTTTAAGAGCTCCAATGACGTGCTAGAGGAAGGCGAAGCGCTCCAGCAGCGTTTCATAGAAAATCTGAGTTATAAATAATACACGACTCAAATGAACGTCAGAATTGCCTCGAAGGTCTTGCGCTGTGAAAAAAAATGGCTGCATTAAGTAAAGAGGAAGAATTGACTCCTTCCCCTGCCATATAATTTCTTCCCATGTCGCCAAAAAAACGCCATGGGGCCGACTTCACAAAAGCAAAGGGAAACAGTGAATCCAATTATCATTTCACAGTGTAAGAGTGATAAGACGTCTGCATGCTGTTGCCTAACACCACATGACTTCCTGGATGAAGCAAGACATCACATTCTGTTCCCTCAACAGACAGACACTTAGCGGCCTACCTACTGAAGGAATTATAAATGTAAGAAGACAATGTCTGATTCGTGGCAGTTAAGACTTGGCTGTATATCCAGTGAGACCATCTCAAAGTTCTCGCGCTGAAAATGCACCAGGTTTATGGAGCTGTCAGCAACTCACTCTGTATGAGAGCGTCACTCATTAACACATAAGCCTGTGAGCCGGAAATTCCTAAGGTGCGATCTTTTACCAGAGTTCTCAGTCACCTGTGGAGACAGATGTACTGTATACTTTCTGCCAGCTTGAACATTCAAGGGTTTAGAAGTCTACCGAGTTTAAAAAGTACTGAAGATGATCCGAACTAAAGCTTCTTTTTTTTTCTGAGATCAATGTCCGATCCTCTCCGATAATAATACCAACAAATATGATTTTTTTAATAAATTATCCATCATTAATTTATAATGTATTATATTCATTAAGTACACAGAATATACAAATCTTTACACTTTCATTATTCAGTTTTCTAAAAAAAAAAAAAGTGTTTTATTTTGTTAAAATAATACAAAATAGTTTAAAGGTCCCATGTCATGCTTTTCCGGTTATTACCCGTCCCCTTGTGTTATGAAGGTTTTTCTGCATGTAAACGGTCTGCAGAGTCAAAGACCTTCAAAGTACACCCTGTAGCGAGTAAAACTCTAACACAGAAAATATCTCCCCAAAACGCCTCGTTGGAAATTTCTCATTTTCCATTGTTTACTTCCTGGGATTGTGCATTGTTTACTTCCGTGTGGATACCCAGAGGCCACACCCTCTGCCAGCCTTTCACGAAACAAAGCTTCCCAAACCTTTCAGCGATTCATGCCGGATATGTACAGCGTAGGGCAGTGTTTCCCAACCGGGGGTACGCGTACCCCTAGTGGTACGCGAGGGAACTGTAGGGGGTACGTGGAATTCCAAGGTGACAAGTAAAACAAATAATAATCCCGTCAAAAATGATAGTGCGCGATTTGTTTCCCTAGGGAGACAATAGTCTGTGGCACGCACAACCGCGCCAAAATCCCACAATGAAAACAGCTGTTTATCTGCAGCCAGAAAAATACTGGTAGGTCTGCGCTATGGATAAATGGCTGAAACGTCCGCTTGCTCTGGATTCAGGCCAGGGTTCAGAGGAGCCCACCGAGAAACGTAAGAAAGAGGCCAAACTGAAACCAAGGCAGTACAGTGAAACATATATATTATTTGGATTCATTTCTACTTCTGCTGACCCACCGCAGCCTCAGTGCTTCTTTTGCGGTGAAGTCCTGGCTAATAGTGCGATGAAGCCAGCGCATTTACAGAGACACCAGAGCACCAAACACTCGGGAAGTGTCGATAAAAGTGAATAATTTTACAGACGAAAGCTGTCGGAATTTAAGTCGAGCCAGACAGTAATGATGAAAGCCACGAATGTGTCAATGAAAGCACTCGAGGCATCTTACGCCGTGTCCCTGCTTGTGGCTAAATAAAAAAAAACTCACTCTATTGTTGAGGAGCTCATTCTCCCTGCAGCGACTGCGTTGGCCGAAATGATGATAGACAAGAAAGCAGCCGAAGCACTCAAGAAAGTTCCCCTGTCGAATAACACCGTATCCCGTCGGATCAATGATATGTCTGTGAATATAATTGGACAAGTGGTGAACAAAATCAAACTAGCCGGTCAGTTCGCTTTGCAGCTGGATGAAATGACAGATGTGAGTGGAGAAGCGCAGCTCCTGTCCTTCGTGCGTTACAAAGATGCGTCGGACATAAACTATGGAGGTTATTCCCTATCTTTATTCAAGAGCATGGTATTTAAATTTGAGAGCATACTTTATGTATTTCTTTCCCTCAAACCCTGTCCTCGCACTCAAATAGTGCCTGCTTGCACTTAGATTTGCTCTGCTTCTGCTCAAACTGTACGCTTGCACTCAGATATATTGCTGTTTACAGATTTTTTC